GGTAATTATTTAAATGTTTGAAAATAAGCACATATTTAAATAACCCATAGCTCTTAATAAAAATTCAGCTGTTTTTAAACAATTAGAATTTGACATCAAGAGAACATAATAGATTACTTTAACTTATTGCTTTAACAGAGAATCAGATTCTAATTCTATATCAAAGAGGAATAGATTAGTATACTTGTGATGTTTTCCATCTGCCAATGTCCTGGATTTATATTTTGAAATAAACTTAAAAATCTCTAAATTAAGATTAAGGTAATGCATCAAATTTCAGCCTGAGTTACTTTAAACAGTGAACTATTTTCATAGACAGTTTATGAACTAATCCAAATAGTTTTTTATAGAATATAACATGTTGAGCATAGGACAGTTTACATTTAGACACTCATTTGCCTTTACCCAATTTAAATTAGCAGTTACACCTAAATGACTGACGATGCTGATATATTATATCTCCATCTGAATTTAATTAAAATTAAAATTGCATTCATCTAAAACAAGTGCTAATTACCCATTGCTGTTTCAGTGAGTACTGATTACCCGGAAACCTGTTAAAATAAATTGCAAAATAAGTTCAGCATTTTACAAAGCAATAGTTTCAAAGGTAGTGAACTTCAGAGATTAAAAGAAAAATTAGTTACAGTGGGCCAGGTCCATGCAGGAAACCTGATTTTCCTGTTTGCCTTGCTTATGATAAAACAAGAGCCCTCAGAAGGGTGGGACACCTAATTTGTTTCTCAATAAGCAAGGAGCCCACAAGCATGGCTACCACTCCCTTGCTATTCTTATGGTAAGACTGTGACAAGAGAGGGACAGAAGACCAGTTGGAGACCATAGAAACCACCATTTCCAAACCAATAAGACAGAGATAGTAGACATTGGGCCAGGGCTGGTTCTAAGATAAAGTCCGAATTCCTAGGTGGGAGGGGGAGATACAGTGAGAGTGGTGGTAGGAGCTAGGGAGGAAGTACATGCGGGCAGAGAATGGCTCTGAGGAATAGATGAGCAAGAGGCTTGAGATAGGCCAGAGAGTTTGACACCAGCCCCCTGGAATTCAGCAGGAGGGGGAGGTGAGGATGCAGCTGCTGAATGGGGGATAATGGCGCTGGAACTTCAGCCGCTGAGGCCTCGGGAGGCGGCTGAGCCGGTGCCTGTAGATTGGAGCGATACGGGGGAGGTTCATCTGCAGGATCAAAGGAAGCTGTGGTAGTGGCAGGAACAGGATCAGGGGCAGAAGAAAGGATTTTTGTTCAGGCCCCTGACCCCTAGAGTGAGTCTTGGAGACCAGAAGGACTTGAGCGGGAGAGCAAGAAGTACACAGGGAAGGTTTAGTTCGAAGATAGGAAAAGGCTTGAACGTATGGAATCTCCTTCCATTTTCCCGAACACTCACAGAAGTGATAAAGAACTTGAATGATAAAGATCTTGAATGTTTTCAGGGTACTCTGACTTCTGATCCCTCAGGGCCAAACGTGCCACCATGGAGGGGCCGCTTTTTGAGGGCTGGGGCCAATTTAAGAGGGACCATCAGACGGAACGTGGTTAGAGAAAAGTTCCTATTGTGACCTGTAGAGTCAGACCTGTGGATTGCAAGCATCCTCGCATCCCAGCTATCTGACTAGTGAGAGAATATGGGAGCAGAAGGCGGGGTCGTCACCCAAGCACCCGCTGGAGCCCAGGGCCTCGCCTGTAAAGAGGGGAACAGAGATGGAGTTGTCACTCACACCCACTGTTGCCTGGACACAGTGTCCGTAGAGGCTAAAGGCCTTACGTAGAAGTAGGAGTGGTGGCTAGAGTCCAGTGCTACGACCTTTAAGAGAGTAGTCAGGCAAGTATCCGACAGTAGACCACCACTCAAATAGCAGTCGCCGTGAGGAATTTTAGTCCCGCGTCTTACCTCAAAACTTGGAAGGCCAATGTGTGGATGGAGGTCGCGGAACGTTCGGTGGCTTGGAAAGAGTTCCAGAGGTGTGCTTTGTGACCAGCAGAAATCCAGGACCCCAGAGCACTGAGGGACGCTGGATTACCAATACAAGGCTATCCGAGTCATGGCACCAATGTTATATATTAATGTTAGCCGTCGCAAAGCACACCAGACACTGGAGTAAGGGAAAGGGTTTATTGGGGAACACCCTACAGACCGGAGTGAAGGGGTGGCGAAGGAAAAAGAGAGAAAGAGAGTATAAGAGAGAAACAGAGAGGAGAGGAGCTAGCAAGGAGAGAAGATAGAGCAGAGAAGAGGACAGAGGAGAGCAGAGCCAAGAGAGAAGAACCGGGAGCCAAGAGAGCACGTGTTCAGGAACAGGCCCTTCCCGAGGGTGGGCAGGGAAGCAGGAGCAGCGAAGCCCATTAGGATGGGGGTGGAGCCTGGCTCAGGGAGCTGGGCCATGTGGCCACCTGGCTAAAACTGCGCCAGTTTCCTAACAGTAGGTAAAGCTGCCACCTCCAGTGCCGGCATCCTGTATAGGCACTGGTTCAAGTCCCAGCTGCTCCACTTCTGATCCAGCTCTGCTATGGCCTGAGAAAGCAGTATAAGATGGCCCAAGTCCATGGGCCCCTACACCCATGTGGGAGACCCAGAAGAAGCTCTTGGCTCTTGGCTTCAAATCAGTGCAGCTCTGGCCATTGTGGCCATCTGGGAGTGAACCAGTAGATGGAAGGCCTCTCTCTCTCTCTCTCTCTCTCTCTCTCTCTCTGCCTCTCCTTCTCTTTCTGTGTAACTATTTCAAATAAATAAATAAATCTTTAAAAAATATACACATTTTTGAGAGGGGTGATAGAAGCAATTAAACTGATGATTCCCTTAAAAAATCCAGCCCTAATAAAGTTTAACAGACTTTTTTTTTATGCATCTGCCTTTTAAAACATGTCTTCCTACCTTTCACCCCCCCAAAAAAAAAGCTTTTTGCAAAATTGGGGCTGGAAGTGATGCTTCTTCAAGCCAGTTTTGAAGTAGGGGTGCAATTCTAAAATGCAGTTTAGACTTGCAGTGACTCATTTGAAGTCCTTAAAGGCCATGTTCTCTGCACACAGAGCCACTCTGAATATTGTCTTGTGTGTGGAGGTATATGTACCCTCCCTTGAGCTTACAGTCATAAACCACTGGGATGCCCCCTGAGCCACAGCGAACGCCGTGTCATTCTCAACTCAAGCGTGCACCTCCAGCAAAGACCTTTTACAACAGTGTTGCCCAGAAAACCGTGAAATAATTGATTGTCGAATCGAGTGGTTGCCGTGGCCATCCCTTTTTTCTGGCTTCCATCATCCCTAGTAGGTGCGTGGGCTTCAAAGCTCGGACTGAAAGTGTCAGGTGGAATCACACAACTTCCCTGACTCTGGGTCTGAGGGAAGATGCAATATTTAAAAATCATTGAAACATCTTTCCAGTTCTTTTAAGGCTGTTTATGTTCAGAATCTAAGCCAGGATTTGAAACAGCTGCATTTATGCATCCCACATGTATCTTTACATGATTACAGAGTCCAGCTTTCTGTTTCCTCTGGGAAGAGGAGAAGTTTGGGGCAGTTGCGTGGGGTCTTGAGGCTGTGGCTGCCTGGTGGGGGCCGTGTGCCGGGTCGGAGTCCCCAGTGCCTTGGTCCCAGACAGAAACAGCCTCGTTCTGCCGTGTTAGGACTGACGGGAGAGATAGGCACTGAATGCTTTGGGTTTGTGTTTTTACACCTGGGTTTTGTCTGTCCAGTATGTTCCACTGGCCCCTGGCACGACAGTTGGGTTCGGGGTGTGGTGTGTCCTGAGACACTGGGGATGGCAGTGTGACCTTCTCAGTGTGGCCAGAAGCAGCCGCTCCCTCCGGGTGCTGCTGCCTGCAGGGGGTGGCTGCGGTCCGTGTTTGGAGGCAGGATTTCTTCCTCGGGCTGCCATCAGATTCTGCGGGGTGGCACGCGTGGCCCAGGCTCTGCTCTCTGGTGGTGGTTTTGGCACCAGAGATCAGACCAAGAGGACAAACACCTGCAGCCTCCCTGGAGCCGGCCGTGACTGGGGCCATCTCCCTTAACCCCTGCCTCCACGTTTTGTTTTGCACCAGAGTTGATGTATTCTCTGCTCTGTTGTTCTCGGCATCTAGAATTAAAATTCTTGGGATTTTGCAAATAGATCAGAGTTGTTGTAAAGGTGATAACCTTATAGTTCTTAAAGACCAGTGTTTTCTAAAAGGAAACTTTATAAAAACAAACTCTCTTGGCAACTGAATATGAATTATGAAACATGTACTGTCTTTGATCCTCTGTAAGAAGTGGCAAACTCAGCCTTGATTATGTAGAGATAAACAGGGTGAATTACTTTGTGAATTTAAGGATATAGATTCTTTGATAGACTACATCTCAAAATGTAACGTTGACAGCAGAATCACACATTTAATCTAATTTAACTTTTTCAAGAAAAGGAAGAATTCAAATTTAGGTGGAAAAGAAAAGTGAACAGGCCATGTGGCCCCTCAAGATTTCAGGCCTCCTTTTGAATATGTCAAAGTGTGCGTGATGCTGTTCAGAGGAATACAGAATTCTACGAGTGATTCCCAGCTGCTCTGCACACGCTGCCTCACAAGAAAACAGGGCACACTCCCAGCACTGCAGACGCTGTCATCAGCTCCCTCAGCTCTGGCTTTGCATTTGAGATCCTGCTTTGACAACAGCAGTGCAGTCATTCATTTCTGGGAGTTCTGTTGTACCTGCAATAGGAAGGCAGAGAAAGGCAGGCAGATCTTCCATCTCCTGGTTCATACTCCAGACGCCTTCAGTAGCCCCGTCTGGGCCAGCACTCAGTCTGGTTCCCCCACGTGATGGCACAGACGCAGGTACCTGAGCCATCACTACCGCCTCCGTTAGTGGGAAGCTGGACGGAACCAAAGGTGGACTTGGGCTCAGGCATTCAAGCAGCCTCTTGGGTGCTGCACCTAACGCCTACCCCTGCTTAACCTGTTTAATGCAGTGTGCACTGGACCTTGAGTTCTGCTGATTGTTTCTCCCTCTCTCTTGTAGGTTTTGATCTCGTAAAGTGTGAGGACCCTGGCGTCCCTAATTATGGCTACAGGATCCGTGATGAAGGCCACTTTACTGACACCGTGGTCTTGTACAGTTGTAACCCAGGTTACGCCATGCACGGCAGCAACACCTTGACCTGTCTGAGCGGAGACCGGAGAGTGTGGGACAAGCCATTGCCTTCTTGCCTTGGTGAGTCAGACCGCTCGCAGCACTGCACGGGGGAAATCCAAGGAGCACTAGCACCGCCCTGCTCATATCTCAATCTTGTACAAAGAGGGGTATTTTACTGCTCTTTTCAGGCTGAGTGTTTAGGCATTCCTGAAGCGTGTGTGTGTGTGCGCACATGTGTGCAGGCATGAAGCAGAGATTTCAAGCACTATTCTGTGGACACTAACAGCACACACATGCGTGTTTCATGGTTGCACACTCTCAACTTTGATTATCAGGACAAGAACTTTCCTTAGAGTAGAGGGTGGGAAGAAATCAGAGAAGACACGATAGCAGGAGGCGGCGATGGGACTGTTCTCCATGTCTGCAGTATGTGCAGACACGGTGCAAGCAGCCACATAGAAACCACGGCCCCATCTCTCTCTCTGTCCTCTGCAGCGGAATGCGGCGGTCAGATCCACGCGGCCACATCGGGACGAATCCTGTCCCCCGGCTACCCAGCTCCTTACGACAACAACCTGCACTGCACGTGGGTCATAGAGGCAGACCCTGGCAAGACCATCAGGTACCTGTTATGTTGTGGTTTGCGGGACCTGGGAGCGGAGACACCTTCCTTCTTGTAGCAGAGGTAGTCACGCCTAGGACTGTCCATCGTCAAATGCTTCCGACCCAAAGAAGGAAGCACAAGCCCGTGGCTAACTTACACACTGCCTGAAATCCTCACTTTCCCGTTCCTTGGAGCTTTTGCATTGAGCCATATATAACACAGTTCAGGAAGTAAGGGAATCGTTCATTTTTGCTGTGTAACAAATGCCCCCCCCCACAACGTGAGTAGCTTAAACCATAACTTGTCTGCTTATGACTCTGTGGAATATCTGAGCGGGTCTTCTGACCTGGGTGAGCCTAGCTGGGGCATGGTGGGGTAGGTGTGGATGCCCAGCTGAGGTGAGGGAAGACCAGGGCTCCCTGTCCCTGGGGCTCATTGTCATGGCATCAAGAGAAGGCATTGTCTTTGCAACAAGAGAAGGCAAACCAGGGAGTTGTGCTTGCATTATGTTTGCTCAACGCGACAGTTGCCAAGACAGGACCCCAGATAGGAAGACAGAGAGGGCACCCTCCCTTCCTGGGAGAACAAAGGTGTGTGGGGGGGATGTGGGGTCATTCGCAGAATACCAGCTTAGCTTTGAGCCTGGCCAAGAATGGATTCTGACCCAAAGTTACACCTCTAAAAGGAAGTCTTTAAAAGTTGCGGAAAATGGACAGACATTTAAATAGTAGCTGTTCTATTTCAATCGAGAGTTCCAAGTTATTGTGGTGAGTTTTTTAAGCTAAGGAAAGTGGTATTTTTAGAGTATATTATCTGTGTTCTAGTAGAAGTCTGTGTCTAAAACCTTAGCATATAACACAAGAGGTAATTTCAAAGTCAGTTCTTTAATTATAGTCCTCGATGAAATGGAAGAGGACAGTGTCCCCAGCAGCACTTCTTAAAATCTCTTTTCTCCTCGGCAGGACTTTCTGAGTTCACTGTAGTTGTTTCAAATTTCACAAGATTGATTTGTTAGGAACGCGAGGCCCTTACAGCCGGCATGCACCTGTCCTGCATCTTTAGACTTTTCTCTGTGCTGTCGAGTGCACCGTCCCCTTGATGGCATCATGCAGTGGGAGCAGCAGAGGGGCTCACGGAGGGGACCCCGGGACCTCAACCTGCGTCCATGCATAAATTTCCTAGACTCATTCTTCATATGCAGCTGTGTGTGGGTGAAAGCCACGTGGGGTGGGGCCCAGCGGGAGACCATGCGTTCTATTCTGTGGCTCATCTTGAGACCTGGGCAATTACATCACTGTCTGGGGAGAGAACGGAGCTGCTTTGAAACCTCTCAAGAGAAAAGACTCTGCCTACGTGGAGATTGTTAGCCGTCACAAAGCACACCAAACACCAGAGTAAGGGAAAGAGTTTATTGGGGTAAACCCAGCAGACTGGAGGGGAGGGACGAAGAAGGATAAGAGAGAGAAAGAGAGTATAAGAGAGAAATAGAGAGGAGAGGAGCTAGCGAGGAGAGGAGAGAGCAGAGAGATGAGAGGGGGAGAGGAGAGCAGGAGAGCAGAGCCAAGAGAGCACGTGTTCAGGAGCAGGTCCTTTTAAAACTTTGCCTGAGGGCGGGCAGGGCAGGAGCAGCGAATCCCATTAGGATGGGGGTGGAGCTTGACCACAGAGGTTGGGCCATGTGCCCACCTGGCTTCCAGCAGTGGCGGCACGGGATAGAGCTTAGGATGTAAATCAGAGTGTAGATCGCACCATAGATAAAACTAAGCCAGTTTCCTAACAGAGATGAACAAGAACTAGAGCCTAAAACATGCAGGTAATGCAAACACTATGTTATAGTTACTCCTTTAAAATTAATATGTTTATATTCAAGATAAATTCATTGATTAGATAATTATTCATATAGTGGGACAATATTTGAGTAACAAGAGTTTAAGATTTCATATCCTTCATGAAAATCAGTGAAGTCACTTTTCACTGAAAAATAATAAAGATTAATTTTTGAAAAGACATTAATTTATTCGAAAGACAGAGTTATATACAGAAAGAAGGTGAGACAGAGAGAGAGCTTCTGTCCACTGGTTCACTCTCCAGATGGCTGCAGTGACGGGGGCTGGGCCAAGCTGCAGCTAGGAGCTTCATCTGGGTCCCCCATTTGGGTGAAGGGACCCATGCATTTGGACCATCTTCCACTGCCTTCCTAAGCTCTTAGCAAGGAGCTGGATTGGAAGTGTGGCTGACAGGTCTTGAACTCGTGCTCATATGGGATGCCAGAGTTGCAGGCACTGGCTTAACCCACTGTGCCCCAACACTGGCCCCTAAATATTAATTCTTACTTTTGGATTCCTCACCCTTTTTTGAGTAATATAAAAACCGTACCACTGGTGTTGATGTTTAAACTCAGTAATCATCTGTAAGAAACGGAATGACTTCACACAGGCAGAATCTATTTTTTTTGAGGTTTCAGTTTTTCTCGTGTCGCAATTCCACTTGTGCCTTGTTTTCCTGGAGTTAGAATGAGCACTGTCTTTCTCTAAATGCAACCAAGTGATGGATTCATTGGAAGGGGAGCCTAATACTTCATTAACATCTTTTAGCGAAAAGAATTAATAAGGAGTGATTTGAAGTAACAAGAAAACACACAACATTTATAACATGAACAACTTTGAAATTTATCCATTAGAATTCTAGAAAATAACACATTGCATGTGATGTCCTAATCTAGAGAAGTTTTTGTCCCACACATATCCTTTAGATATAAAAGTATAGATTATAACTTTTTAAAACATATCTTTTAACTTTAAGGCATGAATTCTTCCCTAATAAAAAAGTTAAGCCGGAAGTATGAATATTTATGAATAATTTATTCAATCGATACTCATTTCAAAGTATTTCCCCTGGTTGAGTCATTTGTAATTTAGAAAATATATGCAATTGTTATTGTGGTGGTCTGGAAAATAACATAATTAAAGGTACACCATATAAAATTGTAGGCTTAAATTACAGTAGTACAAAAATAGGATCTGATCCGATTTGCTGTTGGCTCTTTCATATTTACTGTCTTCATTATTGGTACCACAGCCAATATTACCTACACTGTGCACTCAGAAAAAGTAATATATCAGTCACACCAACATGAGCCTAGGGATTCACTAAGGTGTTAAAAAAGCTAGTGTATATGCAGCTCAGTGCTACACATCCATACTACAATTACTAAATGTAAACATTTCTGTGCTCACAGACTGGCTAATCAACAGCACCTTGAAAAGTGTAAACATCTGGTGTCACTAATTTGGGACAAGAATTTTTGGGCCACTGTGATTTCTTTTTTTAAAGATTTATATATTTATTTGAAAGTCACAGTTACATAGAGAGAGGAGAGGCAGAGAGAGAGAGAGAGAGAAAGATCTTCCATCCAATGGTTCACTCACCAGTTGGCCGCAACGGCCAGAGTTGTGCTGATCCAAGGCCAGGAGCTTCCTCCAGGTCTCCCACATGGGTGCAGGGGCCCAAGCACTTGGGCCATCTTCCACTGCTATCCCAGGCCACAGCAGAGAGCTGGATTGGAAGTGGAACAGCCAGGACTAGAACCGGCACCCATATGGGGTGGCTTCAGGCCAGGGCATTAACCTGCTGCGCCACAGCGCTGGCCCCCACTGTGATTTCATTGAGGCCAGAGCAACTTCTGGCTGCACATCGCTGTAACTTTCTTTGTTAGGTACTAGAGTGCCTCAGATGTGGTTATGATGGGCTCCTGGGTCTGGAAGAGCTGTTGACTGTTAACATGCGTGCTGGAAAGCCGTTACCTGGGCGGAATTTACTTAAAAGTCATTAACACGGCACAGTATCAGATTCGCCCCACTTACGAGTGTGAGGTAGCCATTTCTGTACGAGACCCAGCGTGTGTCACTGCCTAGCAAAGCTGTGATTCGTGTAGTAAAGGCGGCAGCCTCATAGAAATCTTCAACAGGTGGCACTGAAAGCTGTGTTTTACAAAAGTGTGAGTGTGTGTGAGTGTGAGTATATGAGTATGTGTGTGTGGGGGGAGTGTACGAGTGTGTGTGAGTGTGTGAGTTGTGAGTGTGTGTGTAAGTGTGTGTGTGGGAATGTATGAGTGTGTGGGAGTGTGTGTGGGAGTGTGTGAGTGTGTGTTGTGAGTGTGTGTAAGTGTGTGTGTGGGAGTGTATGAGTGTGTGGGTTGTGTGTGTGTAAATGTGGGGGGGAGTGTATGAGTGTGTGTGTGAGTGTATGAGTGTGTGTTTGAGTGTGTGAGGGTGTGTGTGTGTGTGTGTGCTCTGTACTTCCAGCTGGTCTCTGCACGTGGAGTTTTCTGGCACCCTCACTGTGAGTGTATTTCTATCCCTAGTTGTCCACAGGCAATGACATTTGGTGGGAGAGCTGGAGGGAAAGCCCTCCAACAAGCTCCTGTGTCATAAAACCATTGGAAGTTCCTCAGCGTTAGCAAGATGGAGAAGCCTGCTCCTATGCAGACGTGGAGAACTGCCTAGGAGGGGTGGTGCCAGCCCCCCAGGGGTGTGTCCTGCATGTGTTTCCTGCCACGCCAGGCTCGGGAGACGTCAGGGTGAGATCAGCCAATCCATCGCTGAGCAGCCTTTGAGGTGGGGAAACGCACTGGAGGAAAGCAGCAGGCAGTGACCCCATCTCCGTGCTGCTTCCCCAGGCACTGGGAGCTGCATTGCGAGTCTCTCCCTGGCCAAGCTGGCCCAGGAAGACCACGGTGGGGCCTCCCCTTCCCTCTGCAGAGACAGCTGGTGAAGGGCGCTGCAGCCGTTGCAAGCAGAGACAGCAGTGGAGATCCAGCTCCTACTCGTGTCTGTGGCTGCCGCCCCAGCTGCCCTGCACCAAGGTGTCCAGTCCCCAGCGCCACACTTTTCAGTGTATGTTGTCGTGAGAATGTGTGTGAAGCACAAACATCCCTGGCAGCTCCTCACTCATATCCCCCCAACACACACACACACACTAAGTCTTTGGCAGTGATCACCCACATCTGTTTCAAAGCC